TGATATGTGTGGTCACCTCAGTGCCCTTGGGACTGAGCTGGGCAGGACATTTAAAGACAAGAATGTTAATACTTCTCATATCTACTTCTATTGAGTCAATATTTGAAGACAACATCATTAACATTTGAAACAAAGGACACATAGAAGAGGTATTTCAGGCCCCATCTTGATGTCTTCTTTCTCTTTTATTGTGATATAATCCTCATAATGTTTACATTTTTAAAGAGTATAATTCATGGTTTTTAGTATCTTCACAAAGTTGTACAACCATCATTACTATCTATCTCCATAATATTTTAGTCTTCCCAAAAAGAAATCTTATACCCATTGGCACTCACCCCTGCACCCCTCTCTCCCAGCCCCAATCAACCACTAACCTACTTTCTGTCTCAATGGATTTGCTTCTTCTGACCATTTCATATAAATAGACTCATGCAATATTTTTCCTTTTCATGTCTGGCTTCTTTCACTTAGCATACTGTTTTCAAGGTTCATCCACGATGTAGCATCTATCAGTACCTCATTGCTTTTTATGGGCAAATAATATTCCATTATAAGGGTGTACCACATTTTGTTTATCCATTCATCCACTGATGGATGCTTAGGTTGCATAAACTTTTAGGCTGTTGTGAAGAATGGTGCTGAGAACATTCACGTATGAGTTTCTGTGAAGACGTATGTTTGTAGTTCTCTTGGATAAGTATCTAGGCATGGAATGTCTGGGTGTATGGTTTATCTTTCTTCAAGTAATCATATTAGTAACTTGAGGAAAAGGGGAACGGGCTTAATCTGGACCCATTAAGAAACAAATGGGTACATATTGGTAGAGAAGCTATGGTCTTTGGGTAACATTTCATTGTTCTCTACTCTCCAACTGCTAAAGAATGATATAACTAATTTCTGACTTACTAATTTCTGACTTACTTAATTTCCAGTGTTTTCTTACCATGAGACCTGAGGGATGCCATACCCTCCTGTGACTTAATCTCTTGAGCTACGATTTCCCCATGGTGGAGGGAGTTATGGGTGTAGCCAGAAAGAAGAAAGATGTTAGAGTTTATCAAAATTTGTGTGTGGATGAAAGGCATGGGTGAGTGTAATTTGAAAATACTGATGTTTCCTCCATCCTGCACTGGATTTAGCTTTTATTATAATAAGTGTAGAGCCTTCACACTGTGGGATGGGGGATGCATTGTGAGGAGGAGGACAAATGGGGGACAGGCAGCAATCTGAGTATGAAAAATGAACACGTGGCTTTGTTTGTGAAATCCTGCAGCTGCTTTACTAGCAGTGATGTTATTTTGATGAACTTCTGTCTTTGGAACTATTTAGATTTTATTTATGCTAGTATGAAGAGCAATGTCCTATGAATCAGAGATGTGTTAGACACAGTAAACTTGTCATTTTGGATTGTAATACTAGGAAGGGCCATCACACCAAGAGGAAAGGTGCCTCTGCCAGTCCAGAGGAGCCCAGCAAGGACAGAAACAGGCTGTGAGAGGACCTGTTTCCGGGTGAGAGGATGGGCTCACTAGAGAAGGTTTTTGTCTGTTTGGGATCAGCAATGGACCATCCAGAGAAATGGATTTTCTTCCCACCTCTGTTTCCTTTCTCCTGTAACCAGGGCAGAAGTAAGAAAATCAGCTAATTCCTCATTGAGAAATGTCCTTCCTGTCCCTCCACCCCACTCCACCCCCCACACACTCCTCCTCCTTTTCTCCTCTTCCTCCTCCTCATCATCATCATCACAGCACCACACAGGGGACCCAGCTGGTCTGCTAAGGTGTTAATGCGGTATAATTTGTATAATTGCCTTTCCTCCTCTGGGATTTTTCCTTTACATATAGGCCTCTGGAGCCTGAGCCCAAAAGAATGTGATAGATGTTGGAATGTAATTTGGTCCCTTTATGTACAAAGCCAAGCCCTCCATTTAGGGCAAGCCCTATCAAGTTAAGCATTGTACTCTAGCTGCAAACTGAATGATGAAATAGTTCTCTTTTGCTACGGAACTCTTTCTAATACTTTTTTAGAGCAGTTTAGGTTCACAGCAAAATTAAGTGAAAAGTACAGAGCGTTCCCTCATAACCACCCCCCACCCCTGAACAGCCCCCCACATTATCAACTTCTCCCACCAGAGTCGGACGTATGTTACAATTGATGATCCTACACTGACACATTATAATCACTCAAAGCCCGTCGTTTACATTAGGGTTCACGGTTGTGCATCCTCTGGGTGTGGACAGATGTGTAATGACATGTACCTACCTAATTACAATGTCACCCAGAATAGTTCATTACCCTAAAACTCTGCCGTGCTCCGCCCGTTCATCCCTCCCTTCCCCTACCGCCCGGCAATCACTGATCCTGGTTAAAAGGTCTTCCTTTAACACTCAGCCCAGGTGCTCATGGTCCTTCAGGTTGAACCCAAGTCTGTCTTTACCAACATACCTACCCATAGAATTCTGTGGATGATTTTCCTCAAAGCATCGTTGCATTATGATGAGATCCTCTGTTAGTGTGACTATGTTCCCCGCTCAAGGATGGGGGCCGATGGAGAGCATGGCCCATCACAGGCTTGTTGTAATCAATGTGATGGCAGAGACAGGACTGACCCTCTGTACGTAGTACTCTTTCCACAGGACTTGAAAAATACAGCTCTGTTGTTTTTCTTGTTGTTTAAAGAGAGCTGTCATTACAGTAATTGCTATTTGAAATGTACTGATCAGAAGCAAGGTGTAGTCCATGGTGATATTTTTGATTGAAATAGCCAACTGCCCTAATTCTTAAAAACCTCCTCCAAACATAGAAGGCGAAACATAAATGAAGTCAAGGGACACATGAACGTCAAGAAAATTAAGTAAGTCCGTTGAATGATGGTTTCCCAGTCTGTCTTCACTTTATGATCTGAAGGTCTCCTGTCTCCAGGGATTTTAAAGTATTTCTGAGCACACAAGAGGTAGTCATGAAGCCAGTGATATTTTGTTTATGGTGGTGAGCGGGGAAGAGAGTGGATTGGAAATATTTCTCAAGCAGCCTCTGAGCAATCCTGGGGAGGTAATAATCTACAAGTTTTCAACTCCCCAGATAGGTCAATCTAATGTGGTTTTTACAGGTTCGCAGGAGAGAGGCGGAACCATAAAAAAGAGCGAGGTGGTTTCCAGGACAGTGGCTCCTGGTAATGAGGGGATGGTAAAGAGGTTAAGTTTCAAAGTCCGAATAGAAGTCGCAGCCATGGAATCCAGAGTGATTGCTGCTGAGGCTTTCAAGCCTGTAGATGTGGCCTGCTGTGCACAAAGAGCAGCTCTTGGTTTTTAACCCAGAGCAACGTGGCAGTGGAGCACAAAACACATGCAGTGCCTTCTGGGGCTACTGACTCTGCTGGGCTAATGCTCAGAATTAACCGGCAGCTAAACGAGCTAAAAGAAAGGCTCAGAATGTGGGAAACCCTAAGGCAAGCTGGCAGACTAATTAAGAGTATTTTGAACTAGTCCTCCTGTATTGGGTTTTGTTTCAGAGCAAGGTAACCCATCCATCACCACCTACATAAACCCTAGGAAGATCAAGACGGTCACGGTAAGACGAGAAAGTTTAGGATTAAAGTCCTGGCCAACGTGACCTGTGCAAGCATACCGTGGAAAGCGGGGCTTCACAAGTTCTCCTGTGCGCACACCCACCCAGGGGGCTTGTGGAAACGGGGGCTCGGGTTCAGTAGGTGGGGCTGGGGCCTGGGACCTGCATGTTAAAACAGCAGTGGTGTGTGTGTGCGCAGAGGCTGCAAATGCAGACACTTAGGCAAACGGTTTGCTTTTTACTCTTTCATAACAGGTCACTAAATTGTCTTTCTTGTAAGGCTCTCTGACCAAATAAGTCTGCTGTTATACAGCCCTGTTCATTTCTGGAGGGTTTAGAAATAAAATTCTGATTTCTGTCTTCTGCTTTAAGGAAAAAGAAATGGAGTAGAAATTTCTTCATCGATGGCATGGTGAAACAGCCATTTAAAGAAATTCCAGATTCAGTTATCTCATTTGGGGCTGAAAATACAATACCATGTATTTTATTGATGCTTCTGATTTCTTGTTTTAAATTTTTATTTTATTGTTCAAAGTATTACGTATAGTAGTACATATATCTTCTTTTTTCATTTTTTTAAAATATGTTTTTACTGATTAGTGAGAGACAAAAAGAGAGAGAGATACATCGATGTGAGAGAGAAACATTGATCAGCTGCCTCCTGCTTGCTCCTACTGGGAGTCAAGCTACAACCTGATCATGAGCCCTTCAAACTAGCAACCCTTTGGTGCAAGGTACAACACTCATCCAACTGAACCACACAGGGAAGGGGATTCTTCTGATTTTTGAATGAAGTTAAATTAAATCCAGTATGTTGCCTACATATAACAGGAGTAACAGCAAAAACAAAACAAAACAAAAAAAATGTTTAGCTAGAAGATCCATAGAACAATCACTGTTCTGGTTAAAACTTGAAAACAGTGACTGGCACATTTGAGCATCAGATGGTCGTTAGTCCAGGACCATCTTGCATTTGGACAAGTACTATCACATGGTCACGTCACAGAGTTTGAAGCCAAACTCGCTGGATTCTAATCCAATGAGTCCCACCATTTACTGACTATTTGCAATAGTTTACTCCCCTGTAAAATGGGTTTATACTCGACAGCTATTACTGGATTAGGTAACATCTGTAAAGCTCTTAGAACGGTGGCCAGCACAGCTCCGAGCTGTATAAATGCTGTTAAATATACGACTAAGATAAAGTGAGTTCATGCCATGTCTTAGTTGCTCTGTGGAATCCAGAAGGCCTATTTCTCTTTTTTGCTAATTAAATATCACTCTGAAAGCCTTTCCCAGTAGATAGCTGGGTCCAAAAGAAAAAGCTCTCCAGCCAACAAACAGAGAAACCCGAAACAAATTCATGGAGCGTAAGAGTTCATTGATTTTACTTGTTCAGTTAGACTCACCTCAGTCCTTTGGGTTTGCAGCTGGTGATGTACATTGGCCAGGTGGCCAAGGATATCCTGAAGTGGCCCCGCCCCTTCTCCCCTCCGGTGGTGAAACTGGAGAAGAGAGTGATTGCTGAATATGGAATGCCATCTACCCATGCCATGGCGGCCACCGCCATTTCCTTCACCCTCCTCATCTCCACGATGGACAGATACCAGGTAAGGTGCCTGACTCCTCTCCCTCCCGTGGAAGTTCTCTCCACCCAGTGAGGGAACAGAGAGAGGTTCCTCCTCAGAGTTTTCTTTCAAAGCTGCTGTGAGGGACTTTGAGGTTCATGAAATGAAGCCTAAGGAGAATTGAAACCCTAGTGAGCTGCTGATGACACTGTCTTCATAAGTAAAGTGACCCTATGATTTAGCATCCAAGTCAGGTTGTGCCTAAGCATGACAGTGGACACCATTATTAATGATACCAGCTTAATAGGGACTGTCTGGGGCCCAGGGTGTGGGGACTCCCCCTTCAGAAAGCATTTTCCCCCTGACCTGCCCAGATAGCACTGGAATGGGTGTTCACATCCTGTTTGCAAAAGAGGCATTTATGATCCTAGTAAATGATCTTCAGGGCTGATATGGGTTCACCAAATCCTCCTGCTAGACTTCCCAGGGCCAGGGGCAAAGCGTCTGTGGCCCAAATGACTCCCAAGGAGGCCTCTGCCCCTGATTAGGGCTCAACCATTAGAAGTAATGGCTCCATGTTTTCTAATTCACAGAGAGATTTTTAGTAAATGCTGAAAACAGAAGAATGTCCCTTATCTGCTTATATGCCAATTAGTGTCAGGCCTTTCAAAAGTTATTGTATTCCTGCAATGAAGTTCTGTTTTGCCTGTCTGAGAACTCTTACCCTAGTTCTGTTTCATTTCATAATTTTCCCTTTGATCCACTGGAAAAGGTAGACTTCATGAGATCTAGCAGTCCTATTCATAAACGACAGCAATGTTTCGCCCTGTCCCCACACCCAAGAAACCCATTCTGTACGCCAGGGTGTACAGGAATGGGGGGTCAGCATGGTGGGGCCAGAAGACAAACTTAGTATTGGGTCTTGGCTCCACCTTTGCTGTCATCTACCTGGTCATGTGGGGTTAGACCTCAATTTCCTAAATGGGAAAGGGATAGGAGTAAGGAATATCTCCGATCAGTTATAGTAAACTTGTGTTATAACTTTCTGCAGTGTCACATCAGGATCAGAAATGCCTGAGTGCCCCAGTACCATCAGAATTATTTCAATGAGGGTTTCTGAACTAGGCCACTCCCAGTGGGTGATTTCTACCCCAGAAAGACACAGTGGGCCCAGCATCAGCCCTCACTGGGTTGCTCCCATCTCCAGAAAGGCCTGTGAACATGCTGGTGTGATTTGGTGGGGGGGGGGGGGGGCGGGGGGTGAGGGGTAACATCAAGTAGAGACTGATCACAGAGATACCAATGCCACTACCATTTATATGCTCATTTTGAGGCCACTTGGGCCTTTTAAACAAATTCTTTTAGTTCACTTGATGCAACAGTTTTCATAAGGCCTGGGTCGTTGTGGTTTTCTTTCCTGTTTAATTTTAGAGGTAAATATATTTAGCTACTTGAGTTATTGCTCCTAAATAACACTAAATATGGGATTGGTTTATATAAATGAACTGTGGGCCACGAGGCTGCAGTGGGCACAAGGGCAGGTCTCAGCCCATCCTCCATATCCCTGCCGGCCCCTCCTGCTGCAGCCCCTAGTACCCTCTCTGCCAGCAGGTTCGCTCCCACATGCTGCAGGCACCAGCTCCACTCACACCAGCTGATGGTGCAGAGAGATTTCGGTTAGCACCAGCCGTGGGTGCGAGCAGGGCTGGCACCATCAGCAAATGCGAGTGGTGGCTGCCGGCCCTGTTTGCCCCTCAGGAGCAGGGGGAGATAGAGAAGTCCTCAGGGGCAATTGGGGTTGGCAGCCACCGCTTGCACCTGCTGACAGCACTGAGTGATCGGGACTGATGCTGAGCCCTGGGTGCTGACAGTGGGCATAAACGGCAGCTCCAGCATCAGCTGCAGGTGTGAGCGGGGACATGGCTGACCCTGGGTGCGAGAGGCGGCTACCAGCCTTAATCAGTCTTGAGGGTGATTGGAGCTGGCAGCTGCCACTTGCACCCGCTGACAGTGCCAAGTGATCGGGCCAGCACCAGGCACCAACAGCGGGTGCAAGCATCAGGTGGGACCATGGCGCTGCAGGTGCAAAGAATTTTTAGTAACTGCCCTGATGACAGCGACCAGCACCCCACTTTGGTCTGGTGCCCCTGCTCTACCATCCCACCATGGCCAACACCTGCTGTGGTCTGCGCTCTGCTGCCTGCTGCCAACTCCTGTCATGTTCCACACGTGCCCCGTGGTGGTCAGCGCACGTCATAGCGACCAGTTGTTAGATTGTTCAGTTGGTCCACTGTTTGGTCTATTTGCATATTAGGGTTTTATATATATGATGTAGTGAGCTTAATACTACAGGTTCTTAATATTATACTACAGGTTCTAATTTCAGAATGTATTAACTCATTTTTAGCACACGTTTGATGAAAAACTGACACCCAGTTCATGATAAACCTTAAGAAATGAGATGTAGCCAAGTGTCTCTATACTCACACATTATGTTGGAAAGGCTGTGCTGGACTTGGGCTCAGAAGGCATGGCTTCTGGTTCTGACTCTGTCACTTCTGGCTGTGCGACCTGGGGAAAGTCACTTTGCCTCTCTGAGCCCCAGCTCCCGTTTTGAGGGTCAAATATGATGATTGATGGGGAAGCCTCTTTGCACTCAAGTTTAATATTAATATAACTTATTGTGATGAAGGGTTTCATTTGTAGAATGTGGCTAATGATAGACCCTACCTCATAGGGTTGGGTGAAGATGAAATGAGATTGTGACTAAAAAGTGCTTTGCATACTATAGACAGTTCTCCATTATCTTTATTCTTCTCCATGGAAGACCACAGGCATTAGACCTGAAAGCACATGGGTTACATCTCCATGTGTAGCTCATAAGCAGGATGTTCGTATGTTCTTATATGATTCGGCACCAGCCACATTCCTTGGTCTGCTGTCCCACCAGCAAATGTTGAGATGTGGTAAAGTTGATTCAGCCTTGGCATCTGGGCATAGATATGCCCATGCTTAGCCTGGGCCCATTGTTGCCAAGCTTCCTCACCGCACTGTAAAGTAGGTGACTGGACTTCCCGATCCTAGCGCTGTCCATCTGGCCCCTTACTCACCACTGTAAGCATAGGTGGAAACAAATAACTATCCCCTCCACTGATGCAGCCAGCACAGTAGTCATGGACATGAGTCTTCAAGCCCCGTTCTATGTCTCGTGTGAAACTTCCTCCCAGAACTAGATCCGTAGGCATCTTCCCCTTTCTTCCCTCTGTCTCCCCTTTTCCACGTGTTTCAGGTCATCAGGCCGCTGGCCTAGGGCATGCGAGGTTGAGACCAACAGTCACTGGATGGGGAATCCTGTCCCCTTCTATCGCACTGACTGTGAGTGTGAGAATGCCAGCTCACGCCCTTGCCTTTTTCTCCCCACAGTATCCCTTCGCTCTGGGGCTGGTGATGGCTGTGACGTTCTCTGCGTTGGTGTGTCTCAGCAGGCTCTACACCGGGATGCACACAGTCCTGGTAAGACATTTCGGTTGGGTCTTGGAGTGATCGTTTGTGTGGAATTGTGGCTGCCGTGTCAGTGTGTTCTTCACACGGTATTTTTTATAAAGCTGTTTGCATATGTAATTACATTTTCCATCAGGCCAGTGAATTAAGTAATTATTATTTTATGGCACATCCATAATGTAATGAATTATTAAGATAATATCAAGAGAGGCTGAGCTGGGCTGGATCCTCGTGACTTTGAAGATGGACTGGAACAGTGACAGAGACTTGCGTCACTTATTTTCATGCTTGTTTACTGCTGAGGAAGCAAGCAGTGCAGGGAAACACCCAGGGCCAAGGATGGGATGAGTGGCTGCAGTTCCCCACTGAGGTCCTTGCAGAGATGGGTCTGAATTTCAGGGATCTCAGCTGGCCTTGCAGATAAGGGTCCCACCAGGTCGGAAGAGCCCAGAATCCTTTTGTACTGTCCTGGCTGGAAGTGGTGGGAGTACAGAGACACACATTTGTTTATCCACCCATTGTCAGGCCCCTGAGCCTCCTTGAAAGATTCTTTGCAGCCCACAAGGTGCAACAGTTGTCATAGGCATTAGTGGTTATAGTCTTCCTGTTTAATCCTTAATGATAAATATATCTAGCTATTTGGGTTGTTGCTCGAATAGGATCACCTGCATTTAAAGATCTGCCCACCCTGTTACGATATTAGGGATTGTTTTCCTGGGCTGCCATGCTGGGCACAGTAAAAACGGCATAGAATTCTATTTCCTAGAGTGCCGCCAGTTGCATGGGTTTCAAAAAGCTTACGGTTTTTGTCCTTTTGTTGTTTGGGGAATCAACTTAAAAATTCACCAATTACTGATTTGTAAAAATCCTCTTGGTTGCTATAACCCTACCTCCCTGACTGGAAAGGAAACCAAATTCTCAACAGAATTAATCTCCATCCTGACACAAATGACAGGGAGGTGGTAGTCTGTCACTCAGGTCGTCCAGCCTCATCAAAGACGTTGCACAGCCGTGTTTGACATTGCTAGGATGGTCTGCAGAGCAGCGCTGATATTTTTAAGTGTCCTGGTGTGATCCAGGTTGCAAAGCATTCACTCAGGGAGTTCTGCTTTTGCACAGGGAGCCAGGCCTCAAGGGTTCAAGCCCATCTGGCCCGGGTCAGGACTAAAGGACTGGGAGGATTTTCTTTTGCTTTCAGTGTGAGACCCAGGTCACCGGGTCTGCCAGACTTTTCAGATTTTTCTCTTACACCGCTTTGTGTATCCTTTTTTCTATATCAGAGTATCACTTTAGGATTTTCAAAGGTTTCTATCACTTGTAAGTACGGAATTCCTGTCATTCAGAGGTTTTTGTTATTTTCTGTGTTGCAAAAAAAAAAAAAAAAAAACTCACTCTGGAAGCTCAGACCTGCCACATTCAATGAGGTGCCTGCATTGGCCTTGGGATTCAGCAAGGTGAGACAGTCTTTGCCATTCACATTGGGGTTCCAGAACCACAGCTTCGCATCACCTAGGAGCTGATTAGAAATGCATATTCTCAGGCCCCACCTGGACCTACTAAATCAAAACCTGCATTTTAACAAGCTTCCCACCGGCTCTAATGTGAGATATGGTTTGAAAAGCTTGGAAACTGTCTCTGCTCACATCCCAGCAATTATGGGGATAAGGCGAATTAAATTTCAACCTGCACGGGCCTGTGCAACAGTTACATCCCCTCGAACGTGACTTTGCTCTGGCCTCTGGTTGCTCAGAGGCCCTCTGCCCATCAGAGTTGAGAAGCATCGCTGAGACGCTGGGCCGTGTCTTCCAGCAGATCGCCCTTCTCTGCACTTGTCATTCCTGCAGGCTGCTGAGCAGGTCTCCATGAGGACGTTACAACCTGCCTGGCAGCTTGTTGCAGCCAATGTCCCAATCCCCTGAGCCTCCCACACCCTGTAGTTCTTCATAGCTAGAGCTATTCGTATTCATGAGAATTATATGGGGGCGGAGGAGCAGGAATTTTGTGTGTTTCATGAAGCTCTATTGTTGGACCTTAGATTTCTGTGAAGCCAAGATAAGAAAGTGATTATTTCCTAAATCATGCGGTACCATTACACGGAAAAGAATTTAGAAATATATAGTATAGCTAAATATCTTTCTAGTTAATATTATAAAAGCGTGGGATAATATATATTGATATCATCATATTAAGAAACAAAATACCTGTCCTATTTACTCTTTTAGCACACCAGTGCCATTAGAGAAAACATACAAAAGAAAACAAGATAAAACTGGTCATTGTTGTCATATGAAATATGCAGATTCACTCATTCAAGATAATTAGTCATATGAATAAACATTGAAATCTCTGTTTGTAGTGTATAATCTTGAAATGGTAAAATCATACTCTTGCCCAAATATAAAACGAGTAGGTGTCAAAGACTTCATTCAACTCATTAATTGGTGAAGGAGCCAATTAGTGTAAAGAAGAACTAAATATTTACAGATCATTTAACAAAGAAATATTATATTAAGATTGCTGGGTTGTATACAAGACTAATTATTGTCCTACAGGCTGTAACCTTTGGGGTTATAATTTCCACTGAACAGAAACTGTTTGCATCTCTTCCAAACAAAGATCTATCAGCTATCATTTCACTATATCTGAGACCTTTAATCCTTAGTAAACAGTGAGCTAAAGAAAACACTTTCCCTTCTATAATCCTTTGCCCCCATATGACATTGCAGTATTTTTGTCATATATTCAAGTTTTATATAATTCTTCATAACACACTTGTAGAAATCTATTTTTGTTAGTATGTCACCATCATTTTTGTTAATCCTCACCAGAGATATTTTTTAATTGATTTTTAGAGAGAGAGGAAGGGAGACAGAGAAAACATCAATTAGTTGCCTCCTGTACACCATCTCCCACCCCAACCAAGGATCCAACCCACAACCTAGCTATGTGTCCTGTCCAGGAATCAAACCCACAATCTTTTGGCGCATACGATGGCGCTCCAACCAACTGAGCTGCCGGGCCAGAGCATGTCACTATGATTTTTAATGAAGGTTTAAATATGCTTAGTCTCCAAGCAGGCATTCATTCTCAAATTGCAGGTGAATGCTGGCATGCTTTTTCTAACTCATATAGTTACTCCAGAGCTTCAGTGAGTTTTCAAATAGTCTTTTTCAAAGATTTCTTATAGATGGCCATGCCTAGTGACCCGTGCTCTAGATTTGTGCTCATATATCTGAGGGGGTTCAGAGAAGTCCTGACAAAGGGGAAGGGGCACAGGGACAGTGTCCACATATAGCCATGAGTATCAGGCAGTTCTGTTGCTCACGCTCACACCACGTGCTTCTTGCTGATCCTGTGGACATCAGTGTGTTTCAATAGGAAATTAGTATTTTTGAACATAGGCATTCATTCTTTCTCTCCTGTACATATGTTATTTATGTGACATGTAGGTTTCTCTCTGTAATCATTTATATTCATAATCATATGGCTTCTATTTGGCTTCTATTGACTCTCATCTGCATTATTCTCAGGAATTCGATTAATGGTGAGCTGGTATGGAAAAGAGTATCGGAGTGTGTCAACTAGGCAACATTGACTGGTCTATAACTTCAAATTATTTTCTAGAATAAATACAGTGCTTGGGGATAGGGGTTGTTTTTTTTTTGGGTGTTTTTTTTGGGGGGGTGATTTGTTGTTTTAATGTCAGGGTCTGCTGGATTTCAGAGCTCTCACTGCATCTACAAAGAAGCGGATTCTGGCTTTTACTTCCCTCCTGGCTTCAGCTCTCTCTGTAAAGGCAGCCAAGGGCAAAGAAGGTCCTTCACGTTCTCAGCAGGGGACCTAGCAGAGGGGAAGATGCCCGAATCATAGAGTTTTCAGCATCCAGGATCTGAATGCATTCTTTCCTAACAATTGAATGAATGGGTTGGTTCTGGGCCCTTTCTTTCTCCTTAGCTAATCTTGTGTTGTATTAGTTGCTCAAAAGCATTCTTCAGGGAAGATGTTTGGAGATAGAATGTGAATTTGTCGCTGTGAACTGCATATGGGACTGGGATGTAGAGTCAGAACTCACAAACTGGGAGTTTTCCAGGTGAGGGCCTGCTGTTGAAATATCTAGAGGTGTTCGCCAAAAGGAGTGTTCTTTTTGCTAAGAATAGGATCACTATTTTATGTGTTGATATAAGCATTCGCTAACATTTGTCTTGATGCTTAGGGTGCATCTATTAGCATTCTTTCCTGACACCTTTGTCTATATTGTTGTTTTTGTAATGAGAGATAATAAAGCTCAAGCTTTTATCTGAATACTAAGTTTTATAACCAGAATGATAGTAGGTACAATAATCTAAGGGACGTAGATCTTTCTGCATCTTATCTTTAGAAAATATTAGTTTCTCCTTTAAATAATTTGATTTCTTTTTAAATAATTTGAAAGTCTTTGAACCTTGGTAAGTTGAATTAAAGATTGGTTATATTTCAAACAATGTGAACTGTAGGATAGCACTGGCAACCTCTTTTACGCGCTTTTGTCTTAAATGTTATATCATGGGGCAATGATGTGTTGATTATCATATATATTCTTGGAGGCATTTTCATTTTTGGCATGATGTGAAAATTTATAAGTATTTGTTATTTCTACTTTTGTCCATTTTGAAACATTCTGATTTTAACATCCTGATTTCTTCTCTATGATTACATTTTAACATAATAAAACCAGCAGGTGTTCACTAGAAAATTTAGAGAATACTGCAAAGCATGGAGAAGATAATCATCACCTGTAACATCAAAACAGAAAAAAGTACTCACTATCTTAGTTTCTTTCTTTTTGATATTTTACCCACCCATGCAGCTTATATACCATATAAAGTTAGGGTCATCCTTTGTATAAAGTTTGAACTATGCTCAATATATCTCGTTTATGGTTGGTTATATCAAAACAAACAAAAACACACAAAAACAAATTGCAGAAATGTATCTTTTCAAATGGGAAGTGTTCCTGCTATGCCATTAAATAA